GTCAGCTTCCTCGCGTCTCTTCCCGACCGTAGGGATTGGATCCCCAATTCTGCCCTGCCGGCTGCACTACTTGTGCGCTTGGAGCATCCTAGGATGACTTTCGCTGCGTTCATCTGCGCCGCCTTGAGTGCTTTCGCTATCTTTGTATTTCCTTCCATACTTCTCCGGCGTTCTCTAGCGGCGGTACGATTACGCTCTTCATAACCGCCAATTTGATGCGTGTATCGAGGTGCCGGTTTGCGAGCATTGGGTGCAGCTTCCCTGCTCGTGCTTTGCCCTTTTCCGCTACCTTGGACATGTATGCATTCCACGAGCAGTCTTTTGCAATCTCCACTCCGGGGTATGTGCACTGGTCCACTACTGCAATCTCCTCGTTCCCCCACTTCCATCAATGTTCTACTGGTTCCTCCTTGTTCTCGTTGCATACCATGACGGCACTCTTCTGAACGTTGGCAGACAATCTCCACTTATCAGTAAACTTCTTCGCCGCGTCAATTTGCAGTTGCAGTCCCTCAGGGGTGTCCGACATACCGACAAAATCATCCGCAAACAGCATTCCTGAAACCGACGTTTCCGTGTCCCCTACTTTTACTCCCTTCCGGACTGCCTCTACGACTTCCAACAGATCGTTGATGAACACCTGGAACAATGTTGGGGACAGCGTGCAACCTTGTGGGACCCCCTGCTCAGTGTGGAAGATTTAAGGCAGTTCTCCGTCTAGCATGACCGCGCTTTTCGTACACTCTGTCATCTTCTTCAGCACTCTCCACATTTTCCCCTTGATCCCGTATTTGGACAGTTGTTTCCACAACCCATTTCTCCATACGGTGTCGTATGCCTTTTTCACGTCCAGGAAGAAGCAGTACGTCGGCTTTCCCGCCCTCTTTCTACCTTGGATGATTCTCCCTACCGTGAACACGTGGTCTACGCACCCCCTCTTCTTGCGGAAACCTGCCTGGCCCTCACTAATGCTATATTCCTTCTCCAATACGCCCACTATCCTATCGTTCAGCAGCTTACAGAACAATTTTCCTACTTTGTTCAATAGTGTGATCCCCCTGTAGTTTCCTGGGTAAGTTTTGTCTCCTTTCTTAGACAAGTTCACAACGACTCCTTCCCTCCATCTACTTGGCGTGTACTCGTTTTTCCACACCCATTTGTATAGCAGTACAGTCGTCCCCGCTTTAAAGACGCATAGCGTTTTTTTCTTCAAAGCGTCTTTAACGCGGGGAATCGTCTTTAAGATTCCGGGGACGATAACGCACCACCCCCGGGGCCGATGGAGGCATAACATACATCAAAAGACGCGCCGTTGCAACACGTAACTTATAACGAAACGAGGATCCATAAATCTGACCGCTCACAACGTAGCCGTGGTTGAAAGTGGAATGCACATATATATATATTTATATATTATAAACCATGTTTTAAGTTACCGCGCCACCGCCCGCAATAATATGCTCCCGACATGTGGGTTGTTGCGGGATATAGTTTTGTTATGACTGCAGTGCACTCTCTCGGTTGTGTGGCGACTGCTGCCTGCTGTGTTGTTTTTATTTTCTTCTCGTTTTCCTGATGTTGAAAACCTCACCGACACATCCTTCACCACAGCGGTTCCAACTTTGACACGATACTTCAGTATATCCTAAGCGATAGAGACACAAACACCCTACACACGAAACTCAGATGGACATCAACGCTAAATTATCGGTGAAGATGAAGCAATAAAAAAAAAGAGCCCATCGCTGTATGCCCTCCGAAAAAAAAAACTATCGCCCCCACATATCGCCAAGAGTGGCCTGCACCTCACCCCCCTGCTTCGCTCTTCGGTTGACTTGAGTTTCGTGAGTGAACGAATGCACAAGCAGTCCTCGAAAGAAGGTACAGCGTTTCGCTGTACTCGCCGTCCTTCCCTTTCG